CATATTTAAATCATTTATTGTCATATATATATTATAACCATATTAGGTAATTCCGTAAATTTTATTTAAGGAAATATTGATTAGCATTAATAATAGTTTTATGCTCAGTTTAATAAAAATTATATTGTATGTTTATATGAACCAACACTTTTTTCTAGTAAATTTGAGAAACATTCTCATGATGCCACGTGGCTACCAAAACATGTTGTAATGCTTCTCAAATAATATATAGGGGATAAAAGATGTCTCTTAGTTTTTTTAGTTAAAATCTAAGAGATCGTATCTTATATTACGCTAAGAAATTCAATCTAAGAGACCTGCATAAACATGCTCATAAAAATCAAAACTATTGATATTTTAACATTTTAATTAGATTATTACTGTTGCAGACATGTGTTCACTAATTATGTGCCACAGTTGTGATGAGTACCTCTGCAAGGAACTATTTTCCACATTTGATCTCTCTCTCCTACTTTTTTTTTATAATTTATTCATGTTGTAGAAACTCTTCAGCATCCCCCCGTTAAGTGTGGCCTAAGAGCTCGGAAGGAAACTTTTCAAATCGCTTATTTTCTAGTTTCAATTCGTGTGAACATGTTTGTTGGAGATGATGTGTCGTCTTATGTCTTTGTGGTGTTTAGAGCATCTTTAACCCTAAGAGTCCATTAAAGACTCTTTTTTGCTGTTATGATTTAAAAAAAAGTAACCAGTCATAGATCGCCATGTGTCAGTGGAGAATGTGACAGTACACGAATTTTACTAAGCATGGAAAAGGATAGGTTTTAAAAAAATCTGTGGGCACACCTCTTAAGAACCCACTTAAAAGATGAGTTAAAGATGCTCTTAGTTGCTTCGGTTCTTAAGTGTCCCAAATTATCATTATTTGGGGTTGTTTTCAGAATGGTGTTGGTCTGTGTCACTCTCTTTTTTGGGCCTTTGAATTTGGAAGACCGAAATATTCGTTTATAGATTTGCCAGCTTTTGATTCTGAAAAGATTACAATTTTTTGGTATGTGTTAAACGGTTCAGATCAAAATTGCTAGATTTTTTTACTGATAAAAAAAGGGTTAACGACCTATTTCCAAACCGTGACTATCATAGTAATAGTTCCACACGAACTTTTATCCTCTTCATAATTGAACACAATTTAACTATCTCAACCTATTACTCCACAATTCAGAATATCGAAACCCGAATCCACACAGACGAAGATGAATATTGGTTTAAATGGTTTATAATGTTAAACTGATACTAAACCTGTTGGTATTGATTTATATTGGTACAATCCGACCCAAACGAAGATCCAACTATAAATCGGATACAATCCGATCTGTGTCTTATAAAATCCCAAATAGAACATGAAGAACCCTAAAAACTGAATTGTGAAATTTGATTGTTTAAATCTCCATCCATCGAAATTAATGATGTCTATATTGTCAAATACTACAGCCAGAGCTCCGAGTGGATTATCTAACTTTCCTTACCGAATTTTTTGTTTGGTCATAATCAATGAATCTAGGGAATAAAATGAATAAACTTAAAAAATAAAAACTACAAGAGCTAAATTTTAGTTTATAGTATAGGTATGTTATATTAGGATAAAGCTAAGAAGAATTAGTTAAAAAAATTGTAAATCATGAAAGAAATATGGGGATGAAAATTCAGAGTTCGAGTCTACAAATCGCAGAGAAGGTTAAAGATAAGGGCAAAATCTTTCTCCAAAAAAAAAGATAAGGGAAAAATCATCTATTTGTCTTCATTTCATTAAAACCATAAATAAGTGCATTACTGCTGGTTCGAACTTGTGACTAGAGACAATTACTGCTGGTTCGAAATTGTGACTAGATACAATTTTATAAAAGGCACCAACCACCAACCTATTGCATCTGCATCATACATAGATAAGATATATAATCCCATATAATACTAGCCTATGTGTTTATTAATGAAACTTCATCTTTTTGAATGAAAATAGATCTATCTCTCTGCAGATAAATATATTGTAGCTTAGATACTTTTAATCTTTTCTTTTTCACATCAATCTTCTCTCAAACTTCACTTTCATTTTCAATTTTGAAATTGGAACAAATGGTTTGAGTTTAAAAAGAAATTTCTGGATATGGGTTATTAATTATAGGGTATGTCGGGTTTTGGGGTCAGATTATAGGATTTGGTTCTAGATTCGGGTTAATTGGTCCATTTATGTTGGTTTAACCTTTCTAATTGGGTCATTTGTGTTAAATTAGGTTAACCATTGGTTAACGTTTTAATGAAAAGTTAGTTAACCAACAATAAAGCGCTCTGTGTTGGTTTTAGATCGTATGTTAAAGTTTAAGCGGATTCGGGTTTTGATCTTTTAATTAGGGGAAATAGGTTGAGATTGTTAAATCATGTTCAATTATGACGAGGATGAAAGTTTGTGTGGAACTGTTACTATATAAAATATACGGTGTGGAAATAGGTCGTTAACCCAAAAAACAAATAAACCTATTAACAAAATTAACATCTAATCAATGCTAAGTAAACAATTAACTAATTATAACATAATATTTGAAGTTTACTCTTTCTTTGCCAACATTTAAGTACTTACATAGCTTGAAAAAATAATTAGTGGACTAGTAAATTAGATAGCTTAAAAAGAACAAATGATGATGGTAAAATGATTATTTGAAACCGGAAAATAAATTTAGTGACATGTTATTGTTTATGTGTGGCTTGAATATTATTATTTTGTCATTTGTTTTTTTTTTAATTAAATGTAGTCTCATTGTAGATATCTAAGTATTGTCAACATAGAAACCAATAATCAAAAACTAAGTAAATGTAGATAGAAATAATAATGTAGATATTTGATTCAGATAATTAATGTTGGTTGGATTAGTAAGAGAACTGACAATTTGTTAAGGTTGTCAATAGAGTGAGAAGAAATAACAATGGTTTATGGCTGTGTCAATTTTTTGTTGTTGTTTAGGAAATTGAAGATTGCATTATGATTTTTTTTGTGTGGAACTCATAGCAATTTCTGAGTAAATTTTGTACATATATAGTTAACATTTTCCTTTAGCTTGATGCCTAGAATTTTTATTTCGAAAAGTTATTGCCAAAACCAAATAGGAAGACAATCTTTTGAGGAAAAAAAACTATGAAAATAGAGGTGGTCATCTGTTGAGTTAATATAATATGTATTTAGGAATCTAAGATTAGTGGTAATAATCTATCTAAACTATGGTTTTGCTGGTATATAAAACCCAACATCCAATACATATTATTATACAACTCGATGATATATGTTTATATATGTTTGTAATCGACCTGAACGTCGCCATTTAGGATTTTTAAGATTAGTAGTTCATGTATTAAATGGGGATCCAAAATATTTTTTGTATTTTATTAGTAAATGAAAATTAATTTGATGTATTTTAAAGGAATTTGTAAGGTGCCAGTGTCCCTAATTCCGTATAGAAACATGTGGGCCCACCACGGTCTCATGCCTCACTTTGGCTGTAAAGTGTGAACTTAAATCAGATGTAACTTACATACATGATATTAAATAACTATAACTGTAAGTACACATGTAGTATCTCTCTAGCAGGTAATCGCATGTTGTAATGTGTATACTGTGAACGACTGAACGTAAATCATTAGTGCTCATATATAGTGCAAATTTTTGTCTTGATTCCTTGTTCTTACTTTAAGTTTCAATTGTAATTTGTTAGTGTGAATCATCAAATCTATTTTTTCACACCTACCTAACTAACCAGAAGAGAGAGAGAGAGAGAGTTTGAAAATCATGAAGAGGAAGATACAGCGAAAAAGAGAGTGGCACAAGAGTGTTAGAAAAAGAAGAACAATATGGCATTAGGAGAGTTGTATAAACAAAATGTTTCCTGTATATATAATATTATTCTAATTTAGATCGCGATCAAGGCTTGTAATTCGTTGGTTCCCTATCAAAATATTCAGTGTAATAAATCACAGCCGTCACACTATTTTAATCTTTTCTATCTATGTATAATTTTCACGTTTTGATCTTTCAATTAGGGGAGATAGGTTGAGATAGGTAAATCATGTTCAATTATGACGAGGATGAAAGTTTGTGTGGAACTGTTACTATATAAACTTTATGGTGTGGAAATAGGTAGTTAACCCAAAAAAACAAATAAACCTATTAACAAAATTAACATCTAATCAATGCCAAGTAAACAATTAACTAATTATAACATAATATTTGAAGTTTACTCTTTCTTTGCCAACATTTAAGTACTTACATAGCTTGAAAAAATAACTAGTGGGCTAGTGAATTAGATAGCTTAAAAAACAAATAACAATGGTAAAATGATTATTTGAAACCGGAAAATAGATTTAGTGACATGTTATTGTTTATGTGTGGCTTGAATATTATTATTTTGTCATTGATTTTTTTAATTAAATGTAGTCTCATTGTAGATATCTAAGTATTGTTAACATAGAAACCAATAATCAAAAACTAAGTAAATGTAGATAGAAATAATAATCTAGATATTTGATTCAGATAATTAATGTTGGTTGGATTAGTAAGAGAACTGACAATTTGTTAAGGTTGTCAATAGTGTGAGAAGAAATAACAATGGTTTATGGCTGTGTCAATTTTTTGTTGTTGTTTAGGAAATTGAAGATTTCATTATGATTTTTTTTTGTGGAACTCATAGCAATTTCTGATTAAATTTTGTACATATATAGTTAACATTTTCCTTTAGCTTGATGCCTAGAATTTTTATTTCGAAAAGTTATTGTCAAAACCAAATGGGAAGACAATCTTTTGAGGAAAAAAACTATGAAAATAGAGGTGGTCTTCTGTTGAGGTAATATAATATGTATTTAGGAATCTAAGATTAGTGGTAATGATCTATCTAAACTATGGTTTTGCTGGATATAAAACCGAACATCCAATACATATTATTATAAAACTTGATGATATATGTTTATATATGTTTGTAATCGACCCGAACGTCGCCATTCAGGATTTTTAATCGATGCTTATGCTAGGAGGAGGACATCATTCTTCATTGAGAAGGTCATCATTGTCTTTAAATCTTTACCAGAAGCACATAATGAAATAGCCGTTGTGTACCTCTCCCTAGCGTGGAAATGTTTTCCGTCCATCTCTCATGCCCAGGATCTGATGGATTATTTGGAGGAGAAGAAGTTCAAGTATGTTGTGCTAAATATGACTCATTGAAGACTCACAAAGCAAGGGTTGAAGTGGCTCAGACGTGTTACTAAGAAGTAGGAGCAGGTGAATCAGTGGGTTTTGGATCTTTCTGGTTCTGATTTTTGTTTTATTACTAACTCTGTGTTGTGTATATGTGAAGGATATGACGTGGAAGATGAAGAAATAAGCAATGAAGGAAGGAAGGAAAGAAGGAAGATCTATCTTGTTTTATATGTTTGCTTTTGGGGAAACGCTTATTATCCATTTGTTTGCTTTTGGGAAGATAACTCTTATTATCTTTATGTTTGCTTTTGGGAGGATCATAACAGTGAAACCCTTATCATCTATGTGAATGATTTTTATTTCTTTGCTCGCATCAAGTTATGGACTTCCGCGACATATCTGCAATGCATTTGATAAATTATAAGTTATGTCGTGGGACTTGCAATATATGCATTTCTGAGTTATCAATCTCAGGCTTTATTCAATGTTTCTTGCGATCTGAATGACTTTTGTCCTCCCCATGAAGTTATGGGCTCTTATTTATTGGAGGCTTTGAATGAATGTTATAGCAGGAAGCTGGGTCAGACATACAGTGTATTCTCCGATGGAAACAATTGAGAAGTCGATCCCATTCAAGTAAAATTTTTGTGGCACTTAGCAATTTTCTTGCCAATGTATCGAGCATGAATCGTTAATTCTGTCTTGTTGATGTGATTTCTGATGTGTCTGTTTCATATTCGAGAGCTTTTATACAGTCATTCTACTGACAGTCTTTTTTTTTTTAACGAAACGTGCCTGACTCGGATGGGTTTACTTCGCCGTCGTAGTGTTTTAATATGTGGTTAGAGGTCAGAATTGCTAGGATCTTCAACACATAAGGTCCAAGAATGTGTATAGACTATGGTCGTGTTGTCAGAAACTTTGTTGGTTGATGATGTTGTACATAAATGGGCGCTTTGATACTTAAAGTAGAAAACAACAGCAGACATGAGAACATGTCTCTCGGCTATACCTTGAACTTGAGATCTTGCTCATTTCACACTAGGATAATATAGATATTCAACTGGTTCAACAAAAGTTTTCGATATTATTTGACCGTCATTCAAATCTTGTTTTCATTAATAGAATCTTATACTACTACATTTGGAGGAAATCTTCTATAGGGAAACCACGATTTTAAAATTTACAACTATGTGCAGATTTTGAAAAACTTTTTGAGTAATTCATTTTAACCAGTTGTTTACTCCGCCGTATGTAAAATGGAGTCTTCACTTCAAAAATTTAAGAAAAGAAGATTTTGTTTATAAAAAGACTTGTCATCTATTATATTAAAAGAGAAGTCATGACTCACTTCATGTATGATTTTTTTAGTTTGAACCATCCTTATAAATTTTATATAAATTTACATAACATCATTATAATATCTTTTCATATCTTTAACTTTTATTTGAAATACAAATAAATAATTTTAAGAAAATTCTGAAAAAATATTTTAAAAATCTTATAGAATCTTTTCAAGATATAATTTCAAAAATTATTTGATTAAAAAAATTTAATTATCATAGAATATAACTAAAATTTAATTCATTTTTTTTTAAAAAAACATTAAAATTATGTAATATACTTTTAACAATATCCCAAAATTTTGTTTATGTATTATGTAGGTCCATTTTAATTTATTTTTTATATATTTAAAATTTAGAAATAAAACAAAATATATAAATTAGTAATGTTACATAATAATGTTTTTAAAAATTATTACAAAAATAAAAAATTTATAAATTTTAAATTAATAATACTATAAGCTACATAAATATTATTATAAAATGGGATAGTATATGCAATCAAATTATATTTATTTATTGATAAATTTTACTCCCTCCGTTACTTAATATATGATGTTTTGGATCCTAGCACAAAATTAAGAAATTTACATTCTTTTACAAAAGTATTTTTAAAGGTATAATTTTATAACCATTCAACAAATTATTAAAAAGAGTAAAATTTTATCGGTTGAACAGTTTCCAATAAAGTTAAAGATAACTTTAAAACCTCAAAATATACCTTAAATTTTCAAAACATCTTATATTTTGAAATAAACTAAATCTTATAAAACATCATCTATTTAGAACGGAGTGAGTATTATATAATTTCAAATATTTTCATATTAAAATACCCGCACGGTTGTGCGGGTCGATATCTAGTTTGTCACTTGAATTCTTTTAGAAAGATTCATGCAAAGTACGAAATAACAAACGAAAAGATAGGATATACAGTTGATTATAAAAACCTTAATAGACAACTGACATTTTTTTTAATCTTAACTAAAGTAGTTACCATCCACATCATCATCATAGTCACAAAAATCTCACACACAGTAATTTTTAGTCTTGGGCATTCTGGTATTCGGTTCGGTTTCGAATATGAACCATTCAGTTCCGGATATATCAAATAAACCATTCACATACCCAATAAATACTTAGAAAATTTCGATTCAGTTTCGATTCAATTCCAGATTCAGTTTCGATTCAAATCACTAATGTGTTAATTTTATAAATATTTATTGTATTGTAATATAGAAATACCTAATATATTTAAAAAGATAAATTTCTCAAATAGACAAATTTAAGTTTTTATCACAAAATAGATCTCAAAAACTAAAAGGACCAAAATAATATTTTTTATTTTTTATTTTAAAAAAAAAAATATTTTGAAAATTTAATTTTTTTGTATTTTTTTAAATTGGAAATCATATCCCAAAAAGCTCACTACTCAACTCTAAACAAAAAAGTGCAGGACTAGTCTACCTAAAGGTAGAAATGTATATTTACTTATTATGTATAAAACATTTAAATTTATTTTAGTCATTTTTATTTTTAAGATCTAGATTTGTGACAAATTTTTTTTTTAAGTTTATCTTAGAAAATTTCGCTATTTAAAAAAGTAAATAGAAGATAATATGGTTTAATTGTCACAATGTTTTTACTTTTTTCTGTCTAACATGGGTTCGAGTAAAGTTAAGCATTCGGATATTTGTTGGTTTTGGTCTGGGTTTGGTTTTGGATATTTTGATTTGATTCTGGTTCGGATACCAAGTAATTTTTATTAATCAGGCTCGAAGAAATCGTCTACATTCTATCCCATGAAGAATCTTCAATCAATTGGAACGAGAAATCATCCGGTTCGTTATCTTCTTTCCGGTTCGAACCGGTTTTTGGATTTCGATTTCCATCCAGAAACAACGTCTCCGGAGGAAATTCAGAATCCCAGAAATACTCGCCGGGGAGAGATAACTCCGGCGATGAATACGGATCCGGGAACAGACGGCTTTACCTCCGCCGCCAGATCGATCGGATCCGTCTCCAGCTCCGTTCGATATTCTGATTCCTCTTTAGGCTCTGGTTCCGGAATCGCATCCGGTAACCGTTTTAAGATCGATAAATCCCCACCGTCTCTAGCAAAAGGGTCAGTGAAAGTATTGTGGGACTTTTGATTCTTATTTTACCCATAAGGACCCTTCCCCCAATAGGTGTTTAGTGTGCAATGCATTTGTTAAAATGATAAGTTATGTTATGGGAGTCTGGGACTTGACATATATATATAGGATGTGATCTGAGTGACTCATTTTAGTTTAATTGTTTACTCCCATATGTAAATCTGGACAAGTATTCAAGAAAATAGTATTTAGTTTTGGCCGCAATATTCATGATTTTTAATGTGATGCGAGTCTCCTTATTCTTGTGTAGATAATCGAGTACCGTGGGGTGAAAGTTAGGACAAGTGTTGCAGATCTGAGAGAGGCAAACTATCGTGCTCAAGGCAAAGATTGTTATGTACGTTCGTTCAGATTACTTGCTTTACATTCATCATTATCCACGCTGTTTCTAATGGTCACTTGTTTAACTACACAGCTGTTCAAGATAAGCGAAGAGATAGTGATTGATGCCACAAACTCTGGAAACATAGCCCGACTGATCAACCATTCAGTAAGTTTCCCCCACACGCTAGACCAAAACCTAGTAGTAACTAAAAACTAATGATGCCCTCATGTCTTGTTTTGTCAGTGTATGCCCCAATTGCTATGCACATGTTGTGAGTGAAGAAGAGAACAGAATCATTGCAAAGACCAATGTCTCAGCTGTCGAAGAGCTTACGTAGTAACACACTTGTTTTTTCAGCTTTCTCTTCCCATCTTCTAAATTCTTGACCTTCACCATGAAAGCTGATTCTCTCTACAGGTATGAAATTATCTCTTTGAAGTTGATGAATCTGAATCTGAAGAAATCAAAGTGCCCTTGCCTTTTGCAGAGCTCCTAACCGCCGCAAATTCACGAACTAATCAACAGTCTCCTCTCAACTCGAAATCATTCTCGCAACGGCTGGTTCATGTTGACTTGTTTACGATTGGTATTTGATTCATTGGTTAGGCGACATTAAATTGTATACTCGCCGGTTACCTTTTCCGGTCTAGCAATTTTGTAAATGTGTAGGATTTAATAATCACATAGGCCACGAAGCAAGACTTTACACATTTGATTTTTTTTTTAATCTACAGTTAGTCAAAAGTGTTAATATCTCTTGCATTTTAATCTAAAAACTATATGTCGCGGCCAATGATAACTATAACTAAATTTTGATCCGCGATTGAAAAACGTGGAAATTTTTTATGATTAAAAATTTATATAATTGGGTTTTGGCTTAATTTAAAGAATATTTTTATATAAAATCAGTTCACCAAAATTTGTGGTGATGATTATTTTTCATTAGTTTTTAGTTTCACTTTTTATTTTTAGATTTAGATTTTTGGTTTTTAGTTTTTAAGTTTCTACTTTTCATTTTCAGTTTTTGGTTTGGGTTTTTAATTTTTAAACCCGCTGAGTTAGTTTGAACTGATATTACCAACAAATAAATCTCAAATAATCGAACATCTAATTTAAAACTAAAAAGATGACAACAAATTTAAATAAAAAAATTGAAATAGTTTATTTTCTAAATAAACAAAGCAAAAAAAAAATATAACATGTGTTTTCAGCTTTTGGTTTTGGATTTTAGTTTTTAGATTTGGTTTTTGGTTTTGTTTTACATTTTTTTAATCAGAAAATTATTTAAGAAAAATAAAAAATAAATTATTTAAAAGTTACAATTGAAATTTATCAAAACAAAGTGATTGTTATTTAAAAAAATTTTAGCATATTTTAAAGTACATGATTTAAATAAATAATTAATAATAGATAATTTTGTTTTGTTAAAAATATTAAGGGAAAATTCCATATAAATACCCCAACTAAATTCTATTAAGCTTTTTAATACCCAAACTTTTTCACTACCCAGTTTAATACCTCAACTAATTATTATGTCCATTTTAATACACCAACTTTTATAACTGTATCTATTTTAATACTCAAACTTTGTTTATTTTAATTAAAAATACTAATAAATTTCAAACGAAATTTTAAAAAATCTCCAAAATCTAAGAAAAAATATTTAAATTTTCTAAGTTTATTTGAAAATTTAAGAAATAAGGTAAACAAATTCTGTAGAAAATTTAATGTTTAAAAAAAAGGTTTTTGAATGAAAAAAAATAATTTACTTTTTCTTTCAAAAAAACAAACTAAATTCAATATATAAAACTTAAAAAACTTATTACAAAACTTAAGATTATAAAAAAATTATTTAATTTCGTTACTCAAACATATAATAAAATTAATTTTTTTGTGAAGCTTAGACATTTTTAAAATTTCATTGGAAACTTATTAGTATTGTTAATTAAAATAAAAAAAGTTTGAGTATTAAAATGGATACACTTATAAAAGTTGATGTATTAAAGTGGGCAGAATAATTAGTTGAGGTTTTAAACTGGGTAGTGAAAAAGTTTGGGTATTAAAAAGCTTAATAGAATTTAGTTGGGGTATTTATATGGAATTTTCCCAAATCCTATTATATAAAGCTTGGTTTTCAAAGTTACTAAATAACATGATTGTGACATGTGGCAATTACATATCTAAGATTATGACATATGTTAAATCATAATTTTCCTTTTTTTTCTTAAATACTTAATCTAAACGAATTTCTTTTTTTCTTACAATTTTCCTTTTTAAAAATACACTTAAACTAAACAAATTTAAATCATAACTTTCCTTTTTAAATACTCAAACTAAAAACGAATTTCATTTTTTCTTACAATTTTATTTATAAAAATACTCAAACTAAACGAATTTATTTTTTCTTAGAAATAGTTATTAATAGTAATTTTTATACTGTTCTAATTTTTAAAAAATATTGTAAACAAAAAAAATCGATATTAATATTAGTATTTATTTTCCTAAGTATGGGTTTAAAATAATTACAAAGAAAAACAGTATTATAAGTTTTATAAGTTTTATATAAAAAATAAAATATTAAAAATTCTTATAAATATAATAGTATTTTAGATTTTACAAAGAGAATTCTAAAACCAAAATTTATTATAATTTTATTTTAGTTGTAGAATCTTATTTGCACTACCAAATATAATATGTGTTTAAAATAATTAGAAGTCTATAAATTTATTTTAGTTGTAGTATTTATTTAAAATAAAATTATATTTGAAAAGTCAAAAAACATGGGTTAAGATAATTACAAAATCAGTAGGCATTGGTTTAAAATAAAGAATTTTCTTTAAAATTCCAAACAAAAAGAGAACTGTAAAAATATTTTTATTATTTTCATATAATTAACTATTTTTTTATGGAAGCCCATTGGTCTAGGTTTGACTAAAGATTAATTTTTTTACATTATCAGGTCCATGTTTTGAGTTTGTGAGAAGGAAAATTATCAGTTTACTGGACAAAATATTTATAAGATAATTTTAGCATTGTACAAAAAATATGTATGGTGTGAGTCCTATGTAAACAAAAAAAAATATAAAGGTTGAGACTTTAAAACAAAAATCTACAATGAGAAGATTGATGTAAAAAAATGAGTCCCATAACATACACCTAAATTCTAAAATTGATGTAAAAAATTCATCCTTATTGATGTAAACCGAATTTTGATTCCTAAAATGAATTCGACACACCATATATAAAAACATTCAATTTCAATAAAAAAGTTTCTTATTTTTATCTTTTTTTATTAAACTTATAAAACATTAATCAAAACCCGTGCAACGCACGGGTCCATATCTAGTATGTTTATATAATATGATTTCATTAAAAGGGAAAATTAACAAAATAGTAACATCCATTAAAAATATTTTAAATAACATAAAATGTACTTTTTAATTAATAAAATACTTTCTTTATATCTGTATTTTCTTATATGAAAATATATATTTTTATATAATGTGATTTCATAACAAAAAATTCACACATATAATTTTGATATTTGAAAAAATTACTTTTAAACATAATTTTAAGTAACTTCAACAAGTATATGTTTTTAATAACTAAAATAGTTTTTAATTAAAATTATTGAATATTTTATTTATTTTCATATATTTAGTTGACTAAATTATTTTTCAACTAAAGCAAAAAAAAAATCTTTAAATTAAATTTTACTTATATAATATGATTTCTCAAATACAACCACAATTTTACTGCTTATTTTTAAGAGAAATTAAAATATTTTTTAACAATAAACATCTTTTAATCAAATAATTACAAAATATTTTAAAATATCATACAACTATATACTTTAATGACATAGATATGTTATATTCTATCATTATTTAAATTATATGTTTGTTAATTTTAATTTTTTTTAAAAAAATTTATGTTTGTGTAACTTAATATAACCATAATAAAAATACCAAAGCAAATCCGAATTCGCATTTTTAAGATTATTTAAAATAATTTCAGTTTATCGTTAAGTTGTAATGGTCGAGATATATGAAAATAATTTATACCAATGTTTTATTTCTCGACATGAAATATTAATGTTACTATATGTTAGTAAAAATAATTAAACTAAACAGATTGTTCCTTAAATTTAAGGGGGGGGAAAAAACTAATTGCTTAAATTTATGCTTATTTATAACTTGAAAGACACAGATATGTAAATGAGTTTTAATTCTTAAGGTTAATTTTAAATTTTACTTCTATTTTAATAGTTTAGATTGTTAATGATACATATATTAATATGAATATGATTTGTAAAAGATTATGTATTCGTGACAGACGTATTCAAATAACTAGCAGAAAATAATTGTTTTTTATCTAAAATTTGTTACATAAATATATCGGGCTTTTTTCTATATTATTTTGAGTTTGTTTGGGATAATAAGAGAAACGTTTATCCTTCTAATATATATTTTTTGGACGTCCAAAGTTTTAGGTTTATACAATTATAATATCATCAGTAAGTGGTAACATTTAACTTCTAATTAGTCATCCCTTTTGTCATACGCTCTAACTATATTTGAGGTTTTCTGAAGTTTATTTCT